TTCCAGCAGTCGCATCCCTGTAGGATCTATCGTCTACCCTTGTGGACCTCCTCTTCCTTTTGTCGATACCACCGTTAATCCTGAGAAGAACAGTGTTACGAATAAATTGACCTAACTTTGCTAGTCCCCTCCAGTTGAGGTGAAGGAAGTCCGGTTTTTGGTATTTGTTGAGGTCGCGAGAGAGAGAGCGGTCAAGGAGACCATCCCTATCACAGAACTCATCAAATCCATCCACATAACTGACACCAAAATTGGACGGGAGCAGCCTACATCGAATCAAACTGTTAAAGTATATAAGCTTTCTATTTAAATCAGCACGTTTAGAAGGAATTGTTGGACAAACATATACATGCACACCCGGATTAATAGATTGAATCTGGGCAATTTTTGAAACTAGATGGTTGTAGATTATATCAATATCGTTTTGGCTTTTTACATCTGTTTGTTTCAGGTCATTAACCCCACACAATATAACACAGTTTCTATAGCCACAGGACACATAAGGATCAATGCTATCGACAGTTGGGGCAAAGAATCGTTTTCCAGGAAGCCATTTGCCGAATGACTTGGCAGGATCAGAACCGAATTTCAGTCCGCCGGTGTTCGAGTCCCCAATGATACATGTAGCGTTTCTATTCAGGGAACTGACTGATCTCAATGTTATACTGTAGCGCAGCCCAGTTATCTCGCCTGCATCGATACGATGGTGGAACAGTGCTTGGCTACGACGAGTCATTACATATAATGATCCTGGGCCACATAGTTGCTTGTGCTCATCAATACCTGTACTAGCATCAGAGAAAGAAACATGACATGCAGTACCAAGAGAGACTGTAAAGATACTTGATTCCGGGTGGATAGAAGGCTCGTTATCAGAGTGTCTAGGCAAGGTGCTGCTTGTGCCGTCAAACCGATTCACCAAACAGCTGTTAACCTGAGGTTGGTCACCTGAACAAAACTCACTGTTGATTCTGTCGATGAGTTTTCTCAAGGGTGGTGGTATTGCCTTTGGTGTCTTGGACGACTTAGATCCAGGATAATCGTACCGTTCCCCATATGATAGGCAGGAGCGTTCGTTTTCAATTTTGAAGTCTGTGCTGCTCAAATCAAATAGGTCAACTAGTTCTTCCGCAGTCTTCTGATCTATAAAATCGTTTTTGAACAGTTCCACAGGTTTCTGCTCATGATGAGGTGGCTGCAAAAGGACAGGTAGTGCTGGAGGACGAGGATGCTGTGCAGGAGGTAGGTTGGGAGGAATGCAAGGACCAGGGTTATGCAATGGCTGTATAGAACTTATAGACTGTTTTAGTTCAGCAATGCCTGCAGCTACAGTGGGCTCATTTGCAGAAAGTGCGGTGAGTTGTTCTGAGATGCTCTTCAGAAACTGCTCAGATGAGTCTGTAGATGGGGATGATTCAGGGGAAGGTCTAGATGCTAAAAGTTTAAGGTCCCTCTGTAGTTCAGCAATGTTGGTATTTATTGATTCTAATGATTTGTCATGGAGCTTTATTTCATTATTTAGGCCATTAAGGGAGTTCTCTTTAAGAAGCAGGTGTTGAAGGTGAATGTCGAACTGGGAGAGAGTGTCAAGGTTCCTAGAGAACTGTTCGAAGTCAAATTTTTCAAGAGCTGAGCCTGCTGAGCTTGCTGATGCCACAAGTGCACTGACAGTTTCAAGATTCTTAACAGCTGTAGATGCTTCAAAATCTGAGTTGGCCTGTTGCAAAGCCCTTGTGTTCCTGCAGCTGTAACAAAATTCGTCTCTCTGTTTCTTCAGTGTTGATACTGGTGCCACGAAGCAGTATGGGCACAGCCATTCTACCATGGAGTTGATAGCTGACCTCGTTATACCTTTCATAGACAGGCAGTCCACATGCCACTCTTGATGACACTTAGAACAGTCAATGAGGTAAACTTTACCGTTAAAAGAGCGCTGACATGGACATTTCTTCTTGTCCCTATGTTTCCTGTTTACCTGATCTTCATTGTCCACTGTAGATTCGGCTAAAATGTTGCGAGACAAGCTATTAGATGTTTTAGGAGTACCTGAAGTCTTCCTAGAATTTGACGCCATTTTCAAATCAAATGTAAGTAATACTGACCAAATAGATCCGACTTGGGGTCGGCTCCCGTTAAGTGTTTTGTTTTGGAGGAGATTAGGACTTCAGAGTTGATGAGAGCGACCTCATGAACATGCTACAGAATCAACCCGCAGAATTCTCATTAGAGGGGCAAAGAAATGTACTTCAATATGGAGAGCACTACAAGTACATGGGTTCAAAGTCAAACCCTTTGGTGATGCCTGAACCCATCAAGAAACTGATGGAGCGTCTCAACAATGAGTATGGGTCTTCACACCAAGAGGAAAGGTACCACTACAGACTAAACTCTTGCCTAGTGAACATGTATGATGATAAGGAGTCAACTCTCCCAGAACACGCAGACAATGAGGGGGATATTGACCCAAAGTCATCTATCTTCACCATATCTCTAGGGATCCCACGTCACCTTCAGTTTAGGAACTTACAGTCTGACAAAACAATGACTGTCAAATGTAATAGCGGGAGCATGTACCAGATGACTAGGCATAGTCAAGACTTCTTCAAACACACCATCAAAAAAGAAGATGATGATTCTGTTTCTGACGGCATTCGCTTCAGTCTAACATTCAGGGTCATCCATTGGTCAAACTTCAACTCAACTATTCTCATAGGGGATTCTAACCTTGGGCCGATAACATTCGGAAGCGGCAAAGGTAAACTTGGTGAATCGACCCCTTGCCTCAGATCTTGGGCTCCTACAAATGTTGGGATCAGATTAGAGGGTTAGGGTTTCGAATAGTCGTTCAGGGTCAGCTAGAAAACGGGTTGAAAAAGTCACGTGACAGTCGAGTGTAGAGTGATTAATCATCATCCCATAATGGTGCCCCACTGTGCCCCTACAATTTTTATTTTCCACAGAAGAATCAATACATATTGAATTATAAATATCCGATAATTCCATTAATAGTCGTTAAAAGTTGCTTTGTCATTTGTAAAATCAAATTTTTTATTTTCCACAGAAGAATCAGTACATATTGAATTATAAATATCCGATAATTCCATTAATAGTCATTAAAAGTTGCTTTGTCTTTTGTAAAATCAAAAACGAAAAAGCCGTACGCTGAACTAGATATTAGATATAGGGTAGAGTTCACATCTCAATTCTGTGCATCAGAGCTGTACATTAAAAAGTAAACATGATCTTTAAGATGTCTGCTCGACTCGTAGATCACATAAGGGACGGGAGCTCTTGCTAACGGGGGTGGTTCTCGTATCAAGGGATGTGAGACTTGCGTGTCGAAAGCATGCAAGGGGAGTATATATACTGGCGGTGCTGCCAGCACAAACTTCCTACGGAGTGTCCCTGTCTGTGCTATCTCTCCCTCTCAGACGATTCTCTCAGATTGAGAGACATCGCCTGCAGTTAACCAGACTCTCCAAAACATCATGTCCTTGGCCAGAGTGATCCAACGTTCCAGAGCTGCAGCGGAGTATGTACGAACGTCAAGCAGACAGCAATGTTGTACATGATGATTGACATATTTGAACTCTACAATTAAATTCTACTGATGGATCACATCACTAATTATGCGTTACTAATTGGTGACATGATCTGACCCCTGGCCCTGATAATCGGAGGCCCCCCTATGTCGTGCAGCCAAGCCGACAACTATCCCTAAAACTTGTCCACACTGTCTCATGGAAGAGGATACAAGGATACAAAAGTGATAATTACTTTATTGAGTACACAATAGTTGTAATTCTGAAATAATTTAAGTTACACAATTCTAATTATTTACAAATGTGTACAAATTGGTAATATCCACCAATTTTAACCTTAAAAGTCGTCTTGGACTGAGAATTCTTTTGAACTGACTCAGCAAAGGGGATCTTCTATCTAGAAACAGTTGTAGTTTCATGATAGAACACATCTAGGGCCAAAAATAGTGGATAAAAAAGCAAATTTTCCGTTTGTGTGCTTTTATCCACCAAAAACGGCTCTAAAGGCTGAAAGGAGACAGTTTGTTAAGTTCGTATGTAACTATATCCATTCGTTATGGCCCTAGAGCTAGAGTAATAATTGTAAGCATTTTCAGCTTCTAGACGAGATAAGTGGGGTCTAACAATGGATAACCTGCATTATTGACACAGAATTTGACCTAAAAATAAAATCAATCTTGAAGCTCCAGTATATCCACAAAAATGGCCTAGAAAGTAAATATTCTATTCTATCATAAACTTGAAACGATTTCCAACCTGATCCGGTAACTGAGTAAACCTGATGAACTTGTTGACCAATAAAATTTTTTCAGTTGAAAATTTTCGGTATTGAATTTTATTTCATAGTTTTATTATCCACCATATATAGCCTTAAATTTGAAATCTTTCCTTATTTTTGCCTTTTATCATAGAGGCAAATCGATTTGCTACAATTCTATCTTTAAATAATCACCATAAATTAACCACACGTAAAGTTACAGGCCAATCAATGATATATCCACCAAACCCCTCTGAAAAGTATATCCACCATTATTAGCCCGGATTTAAATGCATGTATCTATGCTCATAGACATAGTAGACATTTTATTATTTTTGTAAAAGTTGTACTATCGCAAATCTGTAGATGTCGCACAAAATATTGAGTATATCCACCAAATGAGAGCTTCTAGAAGTTGAAATTTTTCCCGTGACAGATTCGTTAACATAGTTTTTGAAAGTGCCCATTAATTTATGTCTCAGTTTATCAATCTGTTTAATTATTTGACCTTTATTCATTTGCATTATTTATTGTTCGTTTATCAAACATGAAACAAGTTAAATAATTGTGTGATCACAGTTAAATGTCCACATTCTGATTGACAAAACAAATTTCATACATTTTACGAAGTTTTGCAAATATTCCCAGGTTTAAAGATAATTCAAGTTAATATCAAGTTCTTATCTTCCCCAATCAGGGCATGACAAAGAGGTTATTACTTCTATTTATATGCTTATCAATTTCATCCTGTTATCGTGATCACCTCAACCAGTTTTTACATGATTTTGAAGAGCTGGCAAAAGAAAAGATATATTTAGAGCACGTGAAAAACTCTACAGTTTTGACTGCAATGAAACTTTATGTCAGAATTGAGCTAGAAAACAAGATTTTCCATGCCTCATTACACCCTCATCTAAGCTTATTTCACCCTGATGTTATCATAAAGCACAAATTTGCTGACAGGGAGAAAGTGAAATCATTAGATGTGTTGGAGTATTTAGAGGGCCATCTGGTTGATAATTGTGATACGAGCAGAGTGCTCATACATATCAAAGATAACATCGTCACTGGAACTATTCAAGTTTCTGAAAGTGAAAAATATTTCATAGAGCCCTCACACCGGCATATCAAAGAACCACATGATTTTCACATGATTGTTTACAAACTGTCAGATGTTAAGTTTAACTTTACACAACCTGATACAGAAGAGGCCACTTTTGTGGGCACAAAATGCATAAAAATAAAAGTGGTTATTCTGGCAAAGATTTCGAATTCATGATGCCTCAGAAACCCATGAAGGAATCATTCGAATATTCAAGAAAGAAGCGTGCAACATCGACCTTTAATACCCACTGTACCCTTGCTCTTGTTGCTGATTATAAGTTTTATGAGTTTAATCAATTTAATGAGGGTAACACTATAAATTACATGGTGAGCACCATCCAGCAGATTAATGACATGTTTCAGACACAATCTTTAGATCCCGATGAATCTGACGAATTTTTTGGCTTTGGTTTCTCTATCCAATACGTTGAGGTTATCATGGACAAATCTGAAACAGATCAGAGCTCATATAAATATGTCGGAGAAAGTCGGGGTGTATCTGAATTACTTAAAATCTTCAGCGGTGGTATGTGGCGTCCAAAATATTGCTTGGCCCATTTGTTTACAAACTATGACTTCGACCATGGAGTTCTTGGTTTAGCTTATGTTGCTAAACCATCTAAATCTAAAATTGGGGGTGTTTGTACTGAACACCATGGCAAATTAGGAAAGAAATGGAGCGCTAATACTGGGTTAAGTACTCTGACAAACTATGGGAGAACACTGTTAAGTTCGGAGATAGTGTTTGTCACAGGACATGAAATGGGACACAACTGGGGCTCTCCACACGACTCCGGTGACTTGGAGGAATGTGCTCCTGCACAGAACAGATACCTGATGTACCCCTCCGCCGCGGATGGTTCACAACCAAACAACTATAAATTTTCTAATTGTAGTAAAAAGGCCATAAAAGACGTTCTTGTAGGAAAATCAAATATCTGTTTCATCAAGGATATGACAGCTACATGTGGTAACGGTATTATAGAAGCTGGAGAAAAGTGTGATCCGGGCATGGCTAGTTCGTCATGTTGTAAAGCTTGTCAGTTAACGGAAGGTTCGGAATGTGATCCCGCAAATAATGAATGCTGTGGGGAAGAGGGATCAGAGCACCAATGCAAGAAGCAACCTGGAAAATCTTGTCGTTTAGGTCAGATAAGTAGTTGTCACGTGGATCGTACATGCCAACTTAACGAAACCAGCAATGAGCTCCAGTGTGCTGCCGGACAAGATGTTGAGGACGGTAAACCGTGCTTTGACAATGGACGATGTAAACTGGGCACGTGTTTGGACCAGTGTACGTTTGTCAGCAAGTATCCCTGCGTCTGCTCCGATGAGGAATATACCTGTAAACAATGCTGTAAAGATCATGACGACGAAAAATCTTGGTGTAAACCTTTCATTAATACAGATGAAGGTGAAACTGTTGTTGGAAACCGTCCTAATGGTAAATATTGTGGAGATGGAGCCTGTGTTGATGGTGTCTGTGAGGTCGGAGCTCAGGATGTCCAAACAAAGCTGTGGCAAGTCATTGATGATCTGAGTGTTAATAAGGTTTCGAAGTGGTTCAAGCATAACATTGTTTTAACAATTATCGTTTTAAGTAGCTTATTTTGGGTTCCACTCGCTATGTTTCTCAACATGCTCGACAGAAAGTATTATAGAAGCGTAATGGAAGATATTTATGAAGAATTCTATCTGAGAATTATTCGTGAAGATGAACCTCAACCTCAACCTCAACCTCAACCTCAACCTCAACCTCAACCTCAACCTCAACCTCAACCTCAACTTCAACCTGAATCTGAACCTAGTGACCACTGTGTAAAGGAACAAAGTATCATTATTGAGATTGTTAAAAGTAATCAGGATATGAGCATTCACGATACTTCTATCGAAAGCTGCACTTCTTAATCTTCTGATGTTGTTTAAACTTGTTTAAATTATTTATTACTATTACTTTATTAGCGATTCTGAAGACATTTATTAAAAATTTACTATATGCAAACTTACTAATATGTGCAAACTTAGATGCTTCAATAGCTTTAAAAGTTAATATGTACTTACACCTCAAATTCGGAATATTTGAAACATTCTTATCTTAATAATGATATTTAAATTTTTATGACGAAGTTATTTGTCATATTAATATTGTCATGACTGCATGATCATTAAGCATTTATTACTAGTACTACAGTAAAACTTGATTGTAGAAATAATTGGTAATTCAATAATTGTTTCAATAAATAAGATAATTAAATCTGCCATATTCTGCTATTCTGTGACATACTGATTAGTAGAACATGACAGTTATTTACTTCCTCTCCCCGGCACTAGTAAATATGGTGGATGAGGAGAACCGGTTCAGAGACAGTTTGGAATGTGTTCAACTTGAATTGGTCAAGATTAAAGAAGCTGTTCCACAGGTTCATTTTACATGATATTAATTTGTCCTAAATCTATTTTGAATGATATTGGTGTGAGATTACTCAGCAATCCGAACAAGCGATATAACAAGCACAATCATTCACACACTGTTTGTTGCAGATAATCAACAGTGAGGTACTGCATGCTTTCAAATACCATCCTGTTGTTCAAAAAGGTTTGAAGAGGATTATTTTCATTGTCGAGAAATTAAGCATTTAGCAGGGCAATGAAACACATCCCTGCTCTTAGTTGAGCTTTAATCCTTCCTCCCTCAATCCTTGCTGTTTTGTTGTAACTTTTTGTATTGCTTTTGTAACACAATTAGATCTAGAGCATCTCCAGAAGCAAAATCAGAACAACAAAATCTTTATTTATCTAGAGTTGCTGCAAATTAAAGAAGAGCAGAGGAAAATGAGCATAGAACTAGCTCGCTGGAAAAACAAATGTGAGACTGCTCAACATGAACTGCGTGCTGAAAAACAAGTGAGTTTTGAAATTAACCGTTTTCAGAGGTGTATCTGGTATCAGCAGCTGGTTATGGCGTGTTTTTGTGTTTATAAGTGTTCTTGAATGTTGCTAATTCATTAATTGTTCCAGATGCACCATGCGGCTCAAGTGAGTTCAATTCCTATCACTCACATATCTTTTTCCTTTCTACTGTGATATTTTAAGATTATTTATAGTGCATAATTTGCATACTTCTTATAACCCTTGGCCTTGCAGCTCAAATGACTTACTCCAATCTTGTAACAGTGCAAGTGTGACAGTGGGACAAAGTACCTCGGTCCCAAAACATGTGTTTTGGTGACAATTTACTGCGAACGCGAATATAAATTTGTGTAAAAAATATCAAATTGTTCACTCACCGTGTTATAAACTCGGCGCGCGTTCACTACGCGCGCTGTCAATCATGTTGATGGTTACTCGTTATCAAGAGCATCAAGGGCGTAACACGTTTGGCTAATAGAACATACAACACAATATTTTCTATTCATTTGAGAACCCCTACTATGCAATTAGTATAAAATTATCCATCCTATTCTAGAAAATCCAACTAACTCAGGAAGTGATAGCTGGTTTGAAAGAGCAGCTGTCGATGGAAGTGCAGTATTGTGCCAAGTTAGGATCGTCTAGTTGCGGTCTGCTGTGGTCTCTCAGCAAACAAGGAATCTCCCACTCTACCATGTACACGGTGAGTACTGAGTAGACACAGATCTTCCACTTTTAGAGATTTTCTTCTTTAAAATGCTCGCTGTCTGCACCGGCGAATATCCCTTTGTGGCGCTGAGAAAATGGATTTGAGATATATCACCAACTTTTTTAATGATTCTGAGAAAACTTTCGTCAGACCTGTATGAAGAAGTTTCTGGACACTGTCGAGCAAACCTTGGTTAATTTCTCGCACGCAGATTCAAAGATTGATGCTGCCAGTGACGAGATGAAACTGGTTGAATCTCTTTGTGGCACCATAACTAGTAAGAGTTTACTGTTGTCTTGAAGATTAGATTTGAGATCTACTTGATTAGTTGAGTTCTCTAGTATTTTCTTTGGAGTACGGACTTGGAGATATTGTGTACAGTATTGTAGAGCGAAATATTTACAGACATATCTGCGAGTGATGAAGGGCGGGAGTATATCGTGGGTAACGAAAGTGGTAAAAGTCTGATTTCTACTGTGATCTCCATTTTAGCATCACTCTCGCCCTCTCAATCCGTTCTGAAACTCCTGCTCATGTTTCTTTTCAATATCTCCATTCACGTTGATGGCCAGGTTGGTCAAAACTTTTATTCAGAGAAGGTGTATTATAACTTATAAGGGGGGGGGGGGGGGGGGGGGGGGTCATTTGTTATTATAGCGATTTTGTCAATCCCTTTGGTGTCCGTAAAAACAAAAATAAAATGTCTAGCTTTGTCAGTGTTGTGTTGTACCATTCTTTCAAAGATTATCTTTTACAGGCCATATTAGCTAAACAGCTAGACTCTTTGTCGCTTGGGGATCTGATAAACAAAGCCAGGGATTACCAGATAATAATTGGATGTCTGAGGATACTGGACTCTGTTTACACGGATTGTGAGGATCCTACACTCGGCCTAACCCCTGACACCGTCCTCTTCTGTCTGTCCCATCAGAACAAAGATATCAGGGATAGCGCTGTTTCTCTGTTTAAGAACTATTCTGAGCTTCGGGAACCATAAATTATTATTATGATTTAAAACTTAACTATTATTGTCACGTTAAACACAATTTGGAGTTTAGATTTGTTTGTAAATTAATAATTATTGTAGGCTGCGGCGTTTTTTCGCATAAGTTCGTCAAATTGTTATTTTTCGAATAATTTATCGTTTGATGCATTGATGGAGTTGATAGATGATTATTTTGATTTATCCAAAATTTGAAATATCTTATGTTGTTTTATTTTACGAGTACTTTTAAACCATTATCATAGATAGCACCTATTGTACCTGTAAGATAACTGCTACGTAGAAATTATTGTTCTAAGATTTTTAAGTACAGTGAGCGTAACATTATTTCACCGCTTTAGAAAATGGAGCAATCATATTCTCGACTAATCTACAGCTGATACATCATCATTATTATACACCAAATGTTTCCTTCATGAGGCTCAACTGGGCTAGTCTACTTCTTCATCTTTTATTTGGTAAATATAACTAATATGGATGTGTTGCACTAACATCTCATGAAAGTGTTGGTTTATTTAATATTGTAATGTAAATAACCTTTTAAACGCTTCCATCTCGAGCAGATGACAGATCTACGTTTTAAGCTGAGACTGTTCACTGTTCAGTCTTTCTGGACAAATGAAGACGAAGGGTAATACACGTGACCTTTTCATCTTTTAACCGTAATTGTTAAGGTCCAAATCTGCTCACGATTCATCTTTTAAAATTAAAAATTTGTTTCAGTGTCCCTCTGTCAAGATAACGCTAGAGCTTACAGAACCAGCATTTCAAATGGGGCCAATCAAATGGTAAGCTTTCTGTCAGATTTTGTTTTGCAGATTCAAACACGTTTGAGAAAACTCACTTGAAAATGTTTTACGAAATCATGTATGACCTGAATAGAACGCTAACGATCAAATTGTGCTTTATTTTACTATCATCAGGTAGTAGTTTTAACTCAATCTTTTTCAGGGTTCAAATGAGATGTCCCCGTCAGAGGATTCAGTCTCGAATGAAGATTTGACCGATTCTACCCTCGCAGAAAATAAACAGGAAATGGGGAAACTAATTGCTGAACAATTAGCTCAGATAGATCCTGTCCTTAATAAAGATGAATTAGAGACAATTGTTAAATCTAGTCCAATTTTAGTTGTCCATCCTCATGTCAGAAACAATTCCACTTCTCACATTCAAGATAAGGCGAAACTGGCTCCAGGTGATGGGCAACAAGCTAAAATGGCACTTTTGAAAGAACGATTAGCTAAACTAATCGCTGAGAAGCCAACCGTGTTTTAGCATCGAAAACTCGGAAAATATGGGAAGGATAATTGCAAAGGAACTCACTGAAATAAATCCCGTGGTGGTGAGAGATGAATTAAAACAAGTTATCGGTTCTAGCCAGATTTTGGTTGTGCACCCTGAAGTCACTGAAGATGTCTGTTTACCATCCACTAGATGGAAGGGTTGGTACGAGCGAAAATCTGGCCAAAATAGACCTTTTGTTAGAGAAGTTGGCCAAATTAGTGGCCGATAGACCTGGTTTAGTCCCATACATTAGCGAGGAGTCCACCTGACACCGCTCCTGTTCCAAAGCTCCCCTCGGAACACCCTCTCGAAGAACCTACCGAAAGTATGAAGGAGATGGCAAGGAAGATTGCGTTGCAACTCTCCGCGATGAACCCTACATTGGAAAAGGATACATTGGAGAAAGCAATTGGTTCAATGCCTGTATTGGTTCTACACTCTAATCATAACCATAGAGATGAAAGTTTGGAAAAGGACGATGAACTAGTCAGAGAACACCAGCATATTTCGGAGGATTTAGAAGATGCTGATGAGCTCGACGATGAGACAAAACATATTGAAAAATATCCCGAATATCCGGATGAGTCTATCCCAGAGCGACAGTTGCCGGATCACAAACATATCTCAGAAGACCTTGAGAATGGTGATGAACTCGATGCTGAAACTGTAATACACGAACACATTGAAGATGATTTGGAGAACCCTGAGGGACTCATAGAGCAGGAACAGGAACATGAAATTATCTCCGAAGACCCAGTGATAGAACGTAAAAATTTCCATAAACATATCGATGGTGATATGGAAGATGTATCAGAGCTCGTATCAGAAGAGGAACATGAACACATATCTGAAGATCTTGAAAACGGCGAAGAAATAATCGCAGAGAAACTGAATAACCACGTCCATAAGGAGATTGATGTTGATGAGATCGGGCGTAAAGCTGGCAAGAAGCTGAAACGCCCAACTGTTGACGATGTTATTCTTGAGAAGAGCGGCGTTACTTTATACGGCACGGAGTTAATCTCAACCCCGACAACTATTACTCTTCACTTTCAGGTCCTGAGAGATAATGGTCAAACTCCTCCTCAGTAAGTTCACCTTTATCTTTATGCTCTACAAGTAAGCTTTGAAAAAAGTTATTTTGCCATCTATTTCATTGATTACAGTTAAGATAAATTACTAGATAAGATTATAATTGGTGACAGATAAGTCAACTGTTTTATTCAGGGGATATCAGCTTTGTGTTGTCCGATTGAAGAATAACGTTACCCTCGCAAGTCCTACCATGTCATTCGAAAAAGATCAGGTTTTGAATCATTCTCCCATTTGTGCATTCTTTCTTTTTGCCTCTTAAACAATGTTAGCCGGAGGACAGGGAAATCCATTTTATGTAAATTGTACCAGAAACCTACTACCTACATTTGAAACCTTGATTATAAACAAGGCTATAGAGTATACCTGTGTTATCCTGCAATTAGCTATGCCACTGTACTGACTCATTTGGTATGTGCATTAGCTGACGTTTGATATAAAATCAACAAGTCAGTTTCAAAGAAACCTCAAGCCTAAACACACAAGCCTTTGGTTTTGATTGCATGTAGCATACGGCTGATTAACTTCAGAAGAATGTTTTAAATAATAAGATTAATTTCAGTATGAAGTGTATGAAAAGAAAACAATGGAAAAATATGGAATTCCAGTCATCATGGCAGAATTTGAACGATCGTATCTACCTCAAAGGGTAATTAGAAAACTGTAAAAATTGAAGTTATATCTTTCAATGATGAAAACGTAATCTAAAAGTTAACACGTTGATAGTTTTGACTTGGAAATTTCAATTTCAGGTTGTAATCGGAAATGGCAACGTATACGGAGGATTTAGAAATGGGCCCCTTGATCCCGGCTCTTTCTATCAAATCTTCTTCAGGGAGCTGCACGGGATAAAACAAACAGTGAGCACTAATTAGTTCCCAATTAAGCACTAATTAGTTCCCAATTAAGCAGTAATTAGTTCCCAATTTAGCCAAAATTCGTACTTGCTCGATCGGTATTTAAAGTCTAGTAATTCTGCAGAGCTTAATTAAAATGACCTATTTTTATTTTATTGGCTAATTTTGTCAGGTAAATATTTTGAAGATAACAGAGTATGCACAGAATATAGAAAATGTTGGTTCTCCATCCGTCTATTCGACACTGAAAGGAAAACATCCCGTTAAATGGGTTAAACCCGTTCTGGCTTCTTTAATTTTGCTCGGTGGTTTCATGGGTCTTGTTGCTTTCCAAATTGTTCGGTTAGTAACGTCTTTATTGTTTCTGTCGTTAAACTTTTAATGAGAATTATTAGTGTTATTATCCTTGTAATATGTAACAATGATAATTCATAATCATAGTATTCTCCTTACCCCCTCACCCCTGGCCCTGGCCCTCTTATCTAAATTAGAGAACACGATACAATTCCAGCTCTTGTTCGTTCCTCATTTGACCTATCTTAATTACTTTTACTTGTGAAGGTTTAATTACGTACGTTTAATTACGTAAGTTTAATTTTCAGAAATCGTAAAAAGAAACGGAAGAAAAAGTCTAAGCGGAAATCCAAATTTGAAGATGTGTTCGACTCAGAGAGCCAGTCAGTTCTATTTAGCTCATACAGTTCGGACAGTTTTAACCCTGATACCGACAAGTTGTTCATAAGACATGCTTCAAACGCATCTGATTTGGAAAATGGTATAATTATGGAACCTATTGAGCTGCTAAAAACAGAATCAATGCCTCAGTTAGATATTAATAATGCTTTCAAGGTATCACGTCAACCGAGCAGCATAAGTATTGGAAATATAGACGACATTGATAACTATGGACTTAATGCTGACATTAATAAATGGAAAAGACAGATCAGAAGAGGCAGAGGAAAAGGAATCCCGTTATCTGAAGATGGTAATTTACAAGTTGAAGCTGCTGCTGTAGGTGAACATAGTATCAACGCTGACATAAAAGAGTTAGAGGCAATGGACGCAATTCTTGGTTGTACGAGTGAAAACAATGAGAGAAGTTTAGGAACTGGAAGAAGTAACATGAGCCTAGATACCTTTGATAACATTGACGGGTACGGATTAAACTCAGACATCAACAAGCAAAAGATGAAAATAACACAGGGAAGAGGAAGAAAGCACACTATGCCCGAAGAATACAATCTAGTAACGAAGGACCCACATACCAACAATGATCGAAGTGATTGTTCATTGAGTGCTATAGTTTCGTCAAATAGTTCAAAATATGAGCAAGACATTAAGATACCAATCCATCGAAGTGACGAAAGAGGCAAAGAGCTTCGAACATCTGAAGACGATCATTTAGAAGCTGTAACCGCTCAAGTCAGCGAACACAGCATTCAGACTGACATGGAAGAGTTGGAACGAATGGACGCAATGCTCGATTATTTAAGTCAAAAAAGTGAGAAAAGTATGACAGCACTGAAGTCAGATGATAGCATTATGGATTCTAAACAAGTATTAGGGTCTGTAAGTGTATCGAGTTTTGGGAGTCTCCAAGATACCAATGAAAAATATAATGCTGATGAGTCTAAACGCTTAGATATGGGCACCCAAAAGAAAAGACAAAGCGAAAAGAGGAGAGATAAAGAGCATCGAACATCTGAAGACGATCATTTAGAAGCTGAAACCGCCAAAGTCAGCGAACACAGTATTCAGACTGACATGGATGAGTTGGAACAAATGGACGCAATGCTTGATTATTTGAGTGAAGAAAGTGGGAAAAGCAAAGGGACTCCGAACGCTTTAAGTTTTGGAAACATCGACGATATCAATAAGTACGGACTTAATACTGATACCGAAAAAGGGAAAAGACAAATAAGAAAGGGAAGAGGCAAAGAGCTTCGAACATCTGAAGAAGATCATTCAGAAGCTGAAACTGCCCAGAACAGCAAACACAGTATTCAGGATGACATGGAGGAGTTGGAACGAATGGACGCAATGCTTGATTATTTGAGTGAAAAGAGTGATAAAAATAAAGGGACTCCGAACACGCCAGAAATTAAGATATCACCACATCCCAACGACATCAATAAGTATACTAGTCTTGATATTGATACCGACAATGGAAAAAGACAAATGAAAAAGGGAATAACCAAAGAGATCCCAATTTCCGAAGACAGTCATTCAGAAATTGTAGCAGCAAAAATCAGCGAACATAGCATCCACGCTGACATAGAAGAGTTGGAAAAAATGGGCGAAATTCTTGACTGTAAGAGTGAGGGAAGTTTAGAAATTGCTCTAAATAACATGGACCTAGAGAACAAATTCCAAGAAATCAGACTTAATTCAGACATCAACAAGCAAAAGAGAAAGATGAGTATGGGAAGAGGGAGAAAACAGCGCGAATCTGGTGGAACTACTCAAGAAACAAAGTCTCCAAAGACCAGAAATGAAAGAAGTTATGGTTCCACGGAGGCCCATGTAAAAGACAAAAATGCTGTTGTCAAACCTCTAAATAAATCAGAGCTATCATCGTCACTAACCGAAAAGAGTGAAAATGACAGCACCACTGAAAGAAATAAAAGGGGACTTTCTGCCTATGATGCCACTGAAAAGTCAAAGAAGATGAACTCTTTGCTCATCGGCAAGGAAATTAAAGTGGCATCTCCAAAAAGGCAGGAAATGAAAAGTGATGTTGTGAAACAGAAAGTTTCAACTGAGGAAAACACTTCAGTAGCAGAGGCCCTAGACACAACTTATGATATTAATCGTTCATTGGAGGCTACAGTTTTATCAAATAGTCCACAATATGAGCCAGACATTAAGATACCAATCCATCCAAGTGACGGGAGGGGCAAAGAGCTTCGCACATCTGAAGACGATCATTTAGAAGCTGAAATTGCCAAAGTAAGCGAACACAGTATTCAGACTGACATGGAAGAGTTGGAACAAATGGATGCAATGTTCGATTATTTGAGTCAAAAGAGCGAGAAAAGTATGACAGCACTGAAGTCAGATGATAGCATTGTGGGTTCTAAAGAACTATTAGGGTCTGTAAGTGTATTGAGTTTTGATATTCCAGAATATCGCTGCTCCAAATTTGACAACCAAGTTAGAGAGGTAAAAAGCAAAGAGCTTCGAACATCTGAAGACAATCATTTAGAAGCGGAAACCGCCAAAGTAAGCGAACACAGTATTCAGACTGACATGGAAGAGTTGGAACAAATGGATGCAATGCTCGATTATTTGAGTCAAAAGAGCGAGAAAAGTATGACAGCACTGAAGTCAAATGATAGCATTGTGGGTTCTAAAGAACTATTAGGGTCTGTAAGTGTATTGAGTTTTGATATTCCAGAAAATCGCTGCTCCAAATTTGACAACCAAGTTAGAAAGGGAAGAGGCAAAGAGCTTCGAATATCTGAAGACAATCATTTAGAAGCTGAAACCGCCAAAGTCAGCGAACACGCAATGCTCGATTATTTGAGTGAAAAGAGCGAAAAAAGTATGACAGCACTGAAGTCAGATGATAGCATTGTAGATCCTAAACAAGTATTGGGGTCTGTGAGTGTATTGAGTTTTGATATTCCAGAAAATCGCTGCTCCAAATTTGACAAACCAGTTAGAAAGGGAAAAAGCAAAGAGCTTCGAACATCTGAAGACGATCATTTAGAAGCTGAAACCGCCAAAGTAAGCGAACACAGTATTCAGACCGACATGGAAGAGTTGGAACGAATGGATGCAATGCTTGATTATTTGAGTCAAAAGAGCGAGAAAAGTATGACGGCACTGAAGTCAGATGATAGTATTGTGGGTTCTAAAGAAGTATTGGGGTCTATAAGTGTATTGAGTTTTGGGAGTCTCCAAGATAGCAATGTAAAATATTCTGCTGATGAGCCTAAACGCTCAGATAAGGGCACCATAAGGAAAAGACGAAGCGAAAAAGGGAGAGACAAAAAATGTCCGATATCTGGAATTGTTGGTATAGAAGCTGTTCCGTCGGAAGTCAGTGAACACATTATTCAAACTGACATACTGGAAGAGTTGGAATCAATGGGCACAATGCTTGACTGTTTGAGAGAAAAGAGCGAGAAAATTTTAGGAACTGATCGAAGTCAAAAGAGCATAGAGAACATCGGTGAGGTTGATCATTGCGGACCGAATCCAGTCATCAGCAATAGAAAGAGGAAAACGAGGAAGAGAAGAGGGAGAAATCATCTTGCAACTGAAGAATATGCTCAAGAAGTAGTAGCTCCAAAATCTAGGAATGATACAAGTGAACGATCGTCGGAGGCTTCAAGTTCACCTCGTAGTTCTCAGTATGGGGGCTTCAGATTAAACAAGCCAGACTTTAGAACATCTGCCAATTCTGCCAAAAATGAATACAGCTGCTCTGGTGTAATCAGTGAGACGAATTTGATAGGCCTTGCGACAATGTCATCAACAAAGACAAGCGAACCCTCTGAGATCTCACCACAGCAAGACCATGATGAATCATTTGAAGAGCAAAGATATCAATCGTCAATTTTGAGTTCTAATTCAGAGCTGCTATTGTTATCGGGGTCTGTGTCATTACTTTCAATGTCTGCCACAGTGGACAATGATTTGAAAGAGGATTTTCCAACTGATTCTCGTCGAGGTGATCAGATACTCATGACTGGCGATGAAATAGCTGACGAAAAACAAGGAGGTTTAGTTCAACTAAGTTTGACAGATACAGCAAAAGAAACTAATAAATTTATTTCTTGGCTAAAACCCGTGTCTTCAGAGACTGGAGTCATGAGTGTGCCTGAAGTTGTGGTTATAAATGATTCAGATGAAAAGGTTATAAAAACACCACAACTCACGTCAATGCATTCAGACCACAACAGAGTGGAGACTGTGGACTCAGTTTCATATGCTAATAATTCAACAGAAGCCCAACCCAAGCTTGAAGAAGATGCAAAGGTAATAGAAGTTTCTCCTAGTATGCTAGGCTTTGATAATTTTGAAGCTGACCAGATAGTAAAGAATGTTCAAGGCGAAACTGAGATGAGATTTGACAAAGACGAGAGCGATCGTGGCTTAGAAATAGATATAAGTGCTCTGAGTTTTAGTGATGAAATGAGTGATCGTGCTTCCGAGGATAAAAGGGTTTTTAAGACTCTTGTGGATTCTCAATCTTCGAATAAATCTACAGGACTTGTCAAGTCACAAACCGACTTTACTGATCCAGCTGAACCTGATAATGGTGACATAGGTTCCAACGTCTCAGATAGAACTTTATCGTCCAGTGATTGGTGTAGTTATTCGTCGAGTCAAGAGTCAGTGGAAACCCCTGGCCGAAACAAACGCTCGTCTTTTGAAACAGACTTGCTTGATGCTAAAAAGGCTCTCTCGAAAGCTAGAAAACGAAAGATGAATAAAAAAGCTCACGCAAATCATAAAATTCCTGGACGTAGATGCAGATATCCTCCATCAATAAGCGAACCTTGTAAAGTTCAATCATCTAAAACACCTCGAGCGCTTGAAACGACACAAAAATCAGCCGAAGAGACCGAGCAGGTGTGTGAAATAGCTGTGGGTGATATCAGTTTTTGTAGCACCGAAGATATTTTGAATGCCGAAAATTACCTTGTGACTTCAGACGAACAGACGACCAGCTGTTCCACAGAATCTGTTATTGAACAAAATATTTGCGATGACTCAGGGCATTCAATGCTCGTATCCAAAAAGACTAAAATTACCCCACAAAATTTGTGTGCAAGATTAAGTTCGGGTATGGATATCCCTGAAATGCTTCAGACGTGGAATAAAAACACAGATAATAAGTTATTCGAAGCAAAATATGAAAGACATGAAGCTGGAATAGAAGTTGATGTGAGTAACATAAGTTTTACCACGAAAACTGATGAAAGCGTGTATGCAGAATCGTCAGCAATCGATGGCACAAACACAAGTATAACGGGAAGTGCTTCAAGTGCAACGTATTTGATGGCACACATTCAAAACAGTGGTTTGGAATTTGCTACAATATCTATCACAGAGGACAACGATTCAAGAGGGGAGCTTCCGACTAATTTTCCTGAGGATGATATAACGCTGGTAGCCGATAGTGGCAGTAGTATCCGCAACGACTCGGTCGAACTCGTGGATAAAGAGAGTATTCGCACTGACTTGGAAGAGTTGAAAGCAATAGAATCGATGCTTGAATTAATGAGTGAAATTAGTCTGAATAAATCGGAAACTGGTCAAAGTGACGTGAGCTCAAAAACCACTGAAGGCATTGATAAGCAAGGGGAAATTGAAAGTTCTGAAGAATTAGAAATTTATCCAAGTGAATTAAGTTTTGAAAGTTCTCGAGAGACTGATGAAAAAGAATCTTCTCATGAGTCAAATTGCTCGTATGACAAACTGGCCGATGTTGAGCCCATACCAGGTGAATCTGAGGTATTACCATCAATATCCTCAACACCACCAATGAACTCAATGAACTCAGACCTCAAGAGAGTGGGGTCGGTTTCATTTGACGACAATTCAACAGGAGCCCAACCAGGAATTGAAGATGCAAAGGTGACAAAAGTCACGTCTGGTACTCACAGCTTCGAGGTTAATCAAGATATCTATAGCACTGATGTCGGCATGGTCGGTAGTACTTCAAGTGGATCAGATTTAATGTCACAGGTTTCAGACAATGCTTGGGATGGTGGTATAGTAGATGTACCTTCTAAATATGCATTGCCTAGCACTTACAGTCTTACTTATTGTAAAAATGAAAATGACATATTATATAGTGCAGATATGGTAGAGAGTGAGAACAGTATCGAAAATATTGACGAAGAAAGGCGTGATAGTGAACTTGACCTCTTGAATCAATACAAACAAACGAACTCGATGCTCGCCTCAAAGAAAACTGAAGCTTGGGATGATGATATAATGGATGTACCTTCCAAATATTCATTGCCTAGGACTTACAGCCTTATGTATTATAAAAATGAAGATCAAATACCTGGCGAAGACGTTGGAGAGAGCAGCTCAAGTAGTGAAAGCGTTCAAAGCATTCACGAAGACACACTGAAGAATGAAGTTAGAGCGATTGTTAGGAGTGGCACTGAACTTGACATCTTGGATCAAGACAAACAAACGAATTCGATGCTCGCCTCAAAGAAAACTGAAGCTTGGGATGATGATATAATGGATGTACCTTCCAAATATTCATTGCCTAGGACTTACAGCCTTATTTATTGTCAAAATGAAGATCAAATACATGGTGAAGACTTGGGAGAGAGCAGCTTAAGTAGTGAAAGCGTTCAAAGCATTCACGAAGACGCACTGAAGAATGAAGTTAGAGCAATTGTTACAGCATCAAATGAAGCAGATCATAAAAGTGGAAACTGCAATTACAATCAAGAAAAAGGAGTTGTCAAGAATGTCTGCAAGGATTCAGATACTTCGATGCTCGCCTCCAATAAAACTGGATCTACTCCACTAAAGTGGTCCTCAAGGTTACGTACTGGTGGGGTGGAAAAAGGAGAAGAAGCAAGATATGAAGAACCTGAAGAGGGAGTTGAAGTTGATATGAGTAACATTAGTTTTCCCAGTTCTCAAAATAGTAATTTGAAAGTAGAATCATATATTGATCCTGCTGAAACTGAAGAATGTGTGTACATTGAATCATCAACAATCGATAGCAGTGACGTCAGTGTGGATGGCCGCAGTCCAAGTGGAACTGATTTAATGGTTGAGTGTTATACAGTGCCTATCACCAATCAGAGCCATTTGCAAAGATTCAGAGAGATCAGAGTTTATTGATTCGAGTCTCTTCTCAAAGAAAACACAAGCTACCCCTTCAATCTTTTCTTCGACATCAAGTTCTGATAAGGCCTCCCCTGAGTTACTTGAGGTTTGCATCGAAAACAGAGAAGTAATATCAATTGAACCTACATTAGAAACTCATGATTTAAGAATAGAAACTGACTTCAGTGAAATTAGTTTGAACACTTCTCAAAATAATGATTTGAACAAAGAAACTAATGTCGATCAGGTCAAAGCAGGCGTGCACACTGAATCCAAAAATCACCCGAAGAAAAACTCGTGTTACACCAACTTAGCTTCCATGGATGAAAGTGAACGATTCGTAGAAATAGGAATGAGCGAAATCAGCTTTGATTCTGGTAGCCTTCAAGATATTTTAAATAAAGCCTCGCTAACTGCTGAAATCAGTCGCACCAATTCGTCAAAACTTGCTGATAATGCTGAGATGAACACATTTACCACAAGTGATCTTTTAGATAGTCCTATTGAAGTCTGTGATGGTTTGTCTAATGACAGTCCTGATAATCATATGTGGGTGGAGCAATTTGACCAGAAGATTGAATGTAGTCCTGTTAAATTATTGGTCGCTTCTGGTACTGGTAGTCCGACTGAGTTTTTGTCTTCATCTGCGGTCACCCTGATAGGAAAATCAATACAAGATATGAGGAATGAACCAGAAAGCCAACTATCTGAAAGGCCTGTTAGAAATAGATCTATCTGCGTTGGAACTGAATCACAGGACACTGCTGACCATTGCAATCAGGCTGAGACTGATCATCGGAACATAAGTACTCAAGTCTCCAATTCTAGATTAGTTGATAGTTCCTGTCAGTGGACAACTGAAGCTAAAGAGCCTATTGAACGGACGTACTCTACCGCTGGCCGGGACATAAACCCGTATCTTGACATGATGGGTTTAAGAAAACACATGGCTGATAACGCTGAAAATGAGCCTGTCATCCGGGAAATTGATAACAATCCTCCAATCATCAAAAAGAGTTATATGAATGTCCGCAATAATATTTCTGGAGTTTTCCGTAAAAATGCAAACTCGAATGGTATTGCGGGAAAGGAGCATATACAGTTTGAAGCAGGGGAACTGGTTTCGGCTCCTAGTTGCAGTGGCACCGTGTCATCCTGCCAGATTATCATTACGTCAGCAGATTCTGAGAAAACCTTAGACGACACTTGCATAGCTCAGAAGTCGAAAGAAGACGAGAATGGAATCAGTGAAAAAAGAGGAGTGAGTGACATAAATTGTAGTAGCGATTATAAGTTTCCAGAACCCCCCTCCAGCATAAATTTAGTAGAAACTGATGATGCCTATAGAAGTGATTATATGAGTTCAGAGCAGCAGAGAGACAGTGATGAATTTTCGGGATGTTCCCCCGAATCAGATCCAAGTTCGAATAGGATCGTCAATTGGAGAAGTTACGCTTCTGACACTGATGAGGTTAAAATGGGTATTGAAATGAGTATGAGTGCTATTAGTTTTGGTAGTTCTCAAAGTGGCAAACACGTATCAGGATCTACTGCTCCTGATTCGAAGAGAACAAATAAACTACGATACCATCCATTTGAAAACGAGAAGACAATGGAAGACGTAGAACTAAACATTAGTAACTTCAGTTTTGAAAGCATATCTGCAGACCCAAGCTGTGTGTCTGTTAACAGGGAAGTAGGTGATCAGGACGAAAAAGCAGTGAGATTTGAAAATGTTCAAAATCTAGATTCTGAAATTTATGAAACAGAAAGAATTGAAAAACAAACAGTCTGCGATATAATTTCAACGTTAGAGGTTGGTGTTATTGACAAGCCTCTGATCCAGGAAGTTGATTACAATCCTCCGATTATCAGTGTGAGTTATAAAGACGTCCTAAATAAAATTAGAAATGCCTCAGAAATTTCTGACCTTTGCAATCAAGCTGAGCCTGATCATTGTCATATAAGCACTCAAGTCTCCAATTCTAGAATGGTTGATAGTTCCTGTCAGTGGACAACTGATACTGAAGAGCCTATTGAACGGACATATTCTACCGCCGGCCGGGACAATAATCCGAACCCTGATATAATGGGTGGGGGAAAACACATGGCTGAAAACGCTGAAAACGAGTCTGTGATCCGGGAAATTGATAACAATCCTCCAATCATCAAAAGGAGTTACAAATACGTCCGCAACAAGATTTCTGGAGTTTTCCGTATAGAAGCAGACTCCGGACAGGAGCATGTACAGTGTGAAGTGGGAGAACTGGTATTGGCTCCGAGCAGAAGTGGCCAGATTAACATTACGTCAGCAGATTCTGAGCAACAAGAAGAAGACACTTGCGTCACACAGACATCAAAAGAAATCGAGAATGGAACCAGCGAAGAAAGAGGAATGTGTGAACGCCCCTCCAGTTGGAATTTAGTCGAAACTGATACGAGTTCAGTGCGGCGGAGAGACAGTGATGATAGGAATAATTGTTTCAGTGGAATAGACTCAGTAACTGAAAACTTTGATTTGGAAGAACACGAAAAAGGAACATTTTCAGGATGTTCTCCCGAATCAGATCCAAGTTCGAATAGGAACTTTGGTTGGAGAAGTTGTGCTTCTGAAACTGATGAGCTTAGGATGGGCATTGAAATGAGTATGAGTGCTATTAGTTTTGGTAGTTCTCAAAGTGGCAAACACGTATCAGGATCTACTGCTCCTGATTCGAAGAGAACAAATAAACTACGATACCATCCATTTAAAAATGAGAAGACAATGAAAGATGTAGAACTAGACATTAGTAACTTCAGTTTTGAAAGCATATCTGTAGACCCAAGCTGTGTGTCTGTTAAAAAAGAAGTAGTTGATCAGGACGAAGAAACATCTGCAATAACTCAAACTCCAAATCTAGATTCTGATATTTATGAAAACGAACGAATTTTAAAACAAACAGCCATCCGGAAAGTTGATTACAATCATCCGATTATCAGTGAGAGTTATAAAGACGTCCTAAATAAAATCAGAGGTGCCTCAGAAATTTCTGACCATCGCAATCAAGCTGAGCCTGATCATAATTGTCATAATATGAGTACTCAAGTTTGCGATTCTAGAATGGTTGACAGTTCCTGTCAGTGGACAACTGATACTGAAGAGCCTATTGAACGGACATACTCTACCGCCGGCCGGGACAATAATCTGTACCTTGATATCGTGGGTCTGAAAAAACGCATGGCTAATAACTCTGACTACGATCGGGAAATGAATAACAATCCTCCAATCATCAAAAAGAGTTACAAAGACATCCGCAATAATAATTCTGGGGTTTTTCGTAAAATAACAGACTCAACTGGTATTACGGGACAAGAGATGTTGGAGGAAAAGATTGATAAGATTCGTAGTAAAGTTAGCATCAATGAAAGGTGTCAGAGTAACAGTAAAATTCACTGACTCAAAATGATGAAATAGCCGTAATCAATTATTTTGGTCCCGATCTCTATGCTAATATCAAAGTTGAAACTAGCAAAGATTCGCTTGATATCCAATTATCCGATACCACATTGGTGGAAACCAGTCAAAGTTTACTAAGTATAGAGAGTTCTCTTGAAGACGACGATAATAGAGAGGCAACTGTAGATTCTACCATGCAGTCAATCAGTAAACAAGATATGATTTACGGCGATCATGACTCCGATAACGGTCGAGAATGTCACAGGGAATCGACAATTTTGAAATCTGTCGAAGAATCTTGGCTCAACATTCCTAGATCTCAAACAATGACTTTACAAACCTCTGTTTTCGATATTGAGTACTTAAAATTCATGGCAAATGTTGACGAAGGACTTAGCAGCGTATCGGAGGATTTGCAAACTGTTAGAGAGTATGAACAGTTGCTTTGTGATCAAAATGCGGGAGATGATATCAAAGAGTTCATCGAAATTGAGAGAGTCTTAGAAAGTATCGAAGAGAAGGCTCTGGCAGAGAAAAGATTGCAAAGAAGATTTCATATTGACGCTCAAACTAGAGACAAACCTGAATCTTCCACTTCTTCTACAGATATGATGCCTGAGATTGAATCAGGATCATCACAAGAATCAGGATCATATACGATCACTGTACCTCCTGAAATGCTTGATTTGAAATCTTTGTCTGTTGGGGACGTCATTGCTGACTATGAGAATTTGTTGCAAGATTTAAACTCTTCGGACATATCGAATGAAGCTTTCAGAGAGAAGTATGAAATCACAAAAAGCGAACTCCATTCGTTGGGGAAAGATAAGGATATTCTTGATAAAATTGCCCAATTCAGAATGATCCAAACACTGGTCAATCAAATCGAACAAAAGCCGCTGCTTCACAAATGGATAACAGGCCAGATCTTAAATTCAATTTGACCTTATCTAATATTGAAATGAAATCTATTGCTGCAAGAGTTGCTACATCCGCTTTAGGTAAAATAGTAACACTTGGTTTGGAAAGGAGTGAACCTGTTCATTTTACAAAAGAGAAGGGTTCCAAAGATCCAATGTCAGAATCAGATATTGGAGGACATTCGTTGGAAGTAAATTCTGATAGATTACTCTGGGATGCCTGGTCGAAAGGATCAGAAGAAAGTGATCCACCTCGCAATGCTGTTGATATGTACGAGCAGATGTTCATTCATTTGAATTCTCCCGCCTTATCGGACGATGAATTCAATAAGCTTTACGACGTGTCCAAGGGAGAGATGAGAACATTCTTAAACCGGTATTATATCGCTGCTGGCAATTGGGAGGAGGCTTCACCGAATACCCGACACCGATCTTTGTGGGAACAATTTAGGAGGGTAGCAAAGAGAAGTCCGGAAAAACGAAAAAAGAAGAAGCAATCCAAGTCTAAGATGAAATTTGAATCTGTCGAATCTCTTACTGATATCGAGCCGAAACCTTCGTCTATATGGAGACAATTAAAAAGGGCAGCAAAAATAGCGAGGACTTCTTCAGGAAGTTTAGACTCTCCTGAGCAGTCAGTAAAATGCGATAGTGTCAACGAAACTGAGCCTAGTGTTTGTAACGTCGACACCCAAGTATCTAATAATGCTTTCAGTCCAGAATCATTGGAACGGACGTATTCTACCGCTGGCCGGGACATAAACCCGTATCTTGACATGATGGGTTTAAGAAAACACATGGCTGATAACGCTGAAAATGAGCCTGTCATCCGGGAAATTGATTACAACCCTCCCGTCATAAAGAAGAGCTATCTTGATGTACGTAGTAAGATATCCAAGCTCTTCCAGAAGAGTACTGACTCGACAGACCCAAATGGAGAGCAGAAAGCTGGCGACCTCGCATCAACCTCAAAAAATTGTGATACAATTTTACACTTATCAGCATTTCCTGATTTTCTTACTGTCAAGACTGATTCAGCAGAACGACAGGACTTAGTTAAAGGCAGTCAAAGCCCATGCAATAGATCTAATTCAAGAGATAACATTAACACTTGTGATGATCTGAGTGGTACTGACTACAAGAAGTCGAGCTCAGATATTATCATTTTCATTGGACGGAGAACCGCTAAAAGATGTTGCAACAGATAGAAAAGTTGTCTCTAAAAATCTGGGATGCAGAAATTTTGAAATGAAAGAGCAGAATGATTACCCGAAACAAAATATGCACCTTGAAACAGGTGACCTGGTATCATCTTCCAGTTTTAACATCCAGTCTTCTTGTTTACCAGTACCACCCAAATATCTCGATGCGAAAGAAAACTGTGAATCGCTTTATGAATTTGATACAAGTAGTTGTGATGAATGTGGCAGCGTTGCCATCACCGCTACTGCCGAATCTGAAGAATTCATAAACTTAGAAAGTCTTATTAGCATTATAGAAAGGAATCAAACTTCATTACTAGATCCTAAAGGGAAGACGAGTCAGGTCAAAATGTCATGCTCGGAACTAGAGGTGGATTATCCTGCAGCCCAGCCTGTAAACATATCCGTTGTCGAATCCCATGTTGATTTGTCTCCTTGCTTACAGTTAATGACGGTATCACTGGGTGATTTGAATGACTTGGAATCTATACATGACCATCAAGAAGCCGTGAAGAGTCAAAGTACCAGCTCTGGAATAGAAATGAGAAAGATAGACGCTGAATTTGATCCACACAGCGATGTATCCGTCATCGCAAAGCGGCTGTCATCGAGTCTGAAACAAACATTTGACGAAATTGTCGACAGCGACGAAAACTTAGAAAATTGTCTTACAGAGATGTCTGATGCAAATTCAGAAGATTTTTCATTGGATGTCCCTTTGCTAAACCTAGCCTCAAAATCGCCCCAGGACGAACATTTGTCAGATGACGCCTCAACCTCAACCATGAATGAGATTGAGCAGTTACTCACCGAAAGGACAGACCAAGACAGCGAAACTGTTTCATGTCAAGAGGCTTGTGGAGTTTTTAGCGATGAACATTTCTTCGAACTGCAACACAAAGAAAAAGAAGAGATTAGACATCGTGAAAACCGTGAAAAGAAGAGCTTGAAGAACGGCTCAAGAAAAAGAAACACCCTTAAATACTGTTTAAATTGCAAAAGCTGTAAGACAGTTTCACCTTCTAGCACGGAGTCTTGGTGATGAAGCTGTGTGGAGTTCAAAAGAGCAGATTATTGTTTAATCTTTTAATTTATGAGATATCTTTCAAATTGTTTTTGTTATATTTTTCTGCACAATTGTTTTACAAATGAATTTCCTGAAATTGGTACCTCGATCAGAGGAGGTTTCCAATATATCGTATTTTGTCAGATGTTTATGTTTTTGTATTGTTTTGATTTTTTGCACAAATTACGTTATAACGTATAAATAATAAGTACACTGCAAATGTATACATTAATTTTTAACTGAATATTTGCTTGTTTGATTTTTCAATCTATGATAAGTGTTACTTAAAACCCAAAAATCTGCACTGTTGATATGGAATATCAGATTAAAACATTCTATTTTACTTAAGTTAAGGTTCATCTTACATTTTAACTGCTATTTTCTATATTCTGTGGAATTTTCTTGCCCAACTTAATGAAAGCTTTAATCGAGCCGACATTCTTGACTACAGGATGTAACGCTGACCAAGTGGACATTCTTAAACTGTAGTGACTACATCTAAACAGCTTTCAACTGATTTATACTGTACTTGTGAGTACTTTTTACTTTTTTAAATTAAATACTTTTCAAACTTTACAGAGTACAGCAATTATAATACAATAGTACCTTCGCTTTTGAGGGCTACGCGTGATAATTCCCGACAGCTTCCCGAAGAAGCGAAGGTATTATTTTTTATAACTATTGACATGACGGTGGCTCGTGTAAGATGTGTAATGTGATACGTGCGCATGATACAATATAGTGTGTTATATATATTGCGCCACTATATATTACACACTATATTGTGTAATATTATAAAATAAACTCGAATAATTAGCGAACATTTTGATTTTGATTCGTTTCCAATGATTAATATTTGAAAGCATCATAACGTACATGATAAAAACTTTGTGCAGCAAAGCATTTGTCACTTAACTTCTTTTTTCTAGCTCAAACCTCTTTCTCTCTCCGAGTAAGAGAGGGGGGGGGCCAAGTGGATATTTGTAGATATTTGGATAATGTCATCCACTTTTTTCGTGAATTATCCATTACAATAATCTACAATAATCTACAATAATCTACAATAATCTACAAATATCTACATTTATCTACATTTATCTACAAAAAATGTATATATTTTTAATTGTAGTTGACGAAATGAGAGTCTCCACTCAGTGTGTTAAAACATAATTCTTTGTCGACGTTTCGGCTACATGCCTTTGTCATAAACAGGACGTACTGAAAACTTACATAGCTGCAAAAATACAATGTTAAAATAATCTATTAATACTACGAAATATAACAACAACAAATAACATCTTAAAACACAACAACGATCACAAATTTTTCCAAAAGAAACATAAAATATAACGGCTAAAAGAAACCACACCGCAACAAGCCGTAAACAATTCCTCATAGTACTACAAACATTTTACCAAGATAGCTCCTTCATAAAACTAAGTAATCAAAAATTATTTGGGTTTGTAAGTTCAATATTACATTAACTTCCAAGTATATTTTATCCAATCACCTTCATTTACGGACTCAGACAATTGAGTATTTATTTCTGGGTTTTCACGTTTTATTAGAACCGACTGCCACAATTGACGGTCCACATAGTCTTTACATCTTTCTTTTAGCCATCTTTCTTTTAGCACAATTAAAAATAAATGATTGACCCACTCATAAGAGCAAAACAAGATTACCAAAAAATGTATATATATCAAATATGTGCCCAGAAATTCTACTGAATTTTTGGAGATAAATGTATAAATTTGTAGAATTTGTAGAATTTTCGTGAATTATCCATTGAAAATAATCTACAAATATCTACATTTATCTACAAAAAATGTAATCTCAAATATGTGCCCAGAAATTCTACTGAATTTTTGGAGATAAATGTATAAATTTGTAAAATGTCATCCACTTTTTTCGTGGATTATCCATTCTACATTAATCTACAAATATCTACAAATATCCACTTGGCCCCCCCCCCCCCCCCCCCCCCCCCCCCCCCCCCTAAAGAGAGTTTAAACAATAACTGCTGTCGGACACCACTACGCTACAGCCATTTCTAATGTTACTCTCCTCAGGCAGATTAGTGGTAATGATACAACTCTGCAGCAGATAAGTCAACGTGTGGGCTATAATAGACATTATACAGTTTGGAAATGTTCAAAGTACCGATAAAACTATATTCAAAGATGAGATGAACGTAGGAACACCATCTGCAGTAACTCCAATTCGAAACCTAGAGTGTGATGTTTCTGAAAAAGAAATAAGTTTACGATATGCAATGACTGATTCGATTACAACATTGGATGTTGGCATGAGTGATATTAGCTTCGGTAGCGTCAAGGTCGGCGACAACAAATATGTATCACAGTACTCAGTGGTATCATATGAAGACGACCGATCTCAAACATCAACATCAAATTTACACCTGTTACCTGACGTTGAGTCGCTTACTTTGCATCCACTATCAGGCTTCGGTGAGAGTAATTTTGAGTTTACCGAAAATCAGAATAGTGGAAATATATCGGAGGAAAAGATTGATAAGATTCGTCGTAATGTTAATCTCCAAGAGGTTGGTATTAGTGATATTAGCTTTGGCAGCATCAAGATCAGCGATAATACAAATTTACCACAGTACTCAGCGGTATCGTATGAAGAAGACCGATTTCAAAAAGCGACATCCAATTCACACCTGTTACCTGACGTTGAGTCGCTTACTTTGCCGTCACTATCTGGCTTCGGTGAGAGTAATTTTGAGTTTAATAGTGAAAATACATTGGAGGAAAATATTGGTAAGATTCCTAGTAAAGTCAGTCTCCAAGTAAAATGCCAAGGCAACAAAAAAGATGAACCAACTCAAAAAGATGAAATGGCCAAAGTTAGGACTAGCAAAAATTCGCTTGATATACAATTATCCGGCAATATTTCGGTGGCAACCAGTGAAAGTTTGCCAAGCGTGGCGAGCTCTCTTAAAGACGATGATAATGGATCCATGAATGCAGGTTCTAACCTTCAGTTAATCAAACAAGATCTTAAAAAAGACTCCAACAATGGTCGAAAGTGTCACAGTGAATCGGAAGTCTTGACATCTGTAAAAGAACCTTGGATTGACATTCCCAGATCCCAAACTGCCACTCTACAAACTACTGTCATAAATATCGATTACCTGAAAATCATGGCAAATGTTGATGAAGAGCTAAAAAGTTTATCGGAGGATTTGCAGACTGTTAGAGATTATCAGCAATTGTTGCGTGATGACAATGCAGACGATGATATCAAAGAGTTCATCGAAATTGAGAGAGTCTTGGAAAGTATCGAAGAGAAAGCTATGGCAGAGAAAAGATTGCAAAGAAGATTTCATATTGACGCTCAAACTAGAGACAAACCTGAATCTTCCACTTCTTCTACAGATATTATGCCTGAGATTGAATCAGGATCATCACAAGAATCAGATTCATATACGATCACTGTACCTCCTGAAATGCTTGATTTGAAATCTTTATCTGTTGGTAACGTCATTGCTGACTATGAGAATTTGTTGCAAGATTTGAATTCTTTAGACATATCAAAGGATGCTTTCAAAGAGAAGTATGAAATCACAAAAAGCGAACTTCATTTATTGGGGAAAGATAAGGATATTCTTGATAAAATTGCCCAATTCAGAATGATTCAAACACTGGTCAATCAAATCGAACAAAAGGCTGCTGCTTCACAAATGGAGAATAATCATGATGTTAAATTCGATATGGAATCATCTGATGCTGAAATAGAATATTTTGCAGAAAGAGTTGCGACATCCGCTTTAGGTAAAATAGTAACTCTTGGCTTGGAGAGTCAACAGGCAATACAATGTGAAAGTGTCAACGAAACTGAGCCTAGTGTTTGTAACGTCGACACCCAAGTATCTAATAATGCTTTCAGTCCAGAATCATTGGAACGGACGTATTCTACCGCTGGCCGGGACATAAACCCGTATCTTGACATGATGGGTCTGAGAAAACACATGGCTGATAACGCTGAAAATGAGCCTGTCATCCGGGAAATTGATTACAATCCTCCTGTCGTAAAGAAGAGCTATCTTGATGTACGTAGTAAGATATCCAAGCTCTTCCAGAAGAGTACTGACTCGACAGACCCAAAAGGAGAGCAGGAAGCTGGCGACCTCGCATCAACCTCCAAAAACCGTGATACAATTTCACGCATATCAGCATTTCCTGATTTTCTTACTGTCAAGACTGATTCAGCAGAACGACAGGACTTAGTTAAAGGCAGTCTGCAAAGCCCGTCTACTGATAGAGCTAATTTGAGAAATAACATTAACACGTCATGCAAATGCAATGATCTCAGTGTTAAAGACTACCAGAAGTCGAGCTCAGATATTATCATTTTATTGGATGACGAACTGTTGGAAGGTGTTGCAACAAATAGAAAAGTTGACACCGAAAATTTCGCGTGTAAAGTCATAGATAGAGAAAACGAGCCCGTAGTTCAAGAAATTGATAGGGTTAAAGATAACTATTGTGATGTACGTAATAGCATATCGGGAGTCTTTAGAAAGTTTGAACCAAAAGAACTGAATGAAACAGGTGACTTAGTGCCGTCTTCAAGTTTTGACAATCAGTCATCTCATTTACCAGTACCACCCCAAGATCCCAATGCGAGAACACACCGTGAGTCACTTCATGAATTTGATACAAGTAGTTGTAATGAATGTGGCAGCGTTGCCATCACCGCTACAGCTGTCGAATCTAATCATGCTACAGATTTAGAAAGTCTTAATATTGGGATTGTAGAAAGCAATCAAATTTCATTACTTGATCATAAGGATAAGAAGAGTCAGCTCAAAATGTCATGCTCGGCACTAGATGGGAGTCACCCCGCAGCCCAGCCTTTCAAAATATTAATCCCCGAAACCGAATCTTATGCCGATTTACCTCCTCATTCAGAGTTAATATCGGAATCACCAGAGGGTTTGAACTACTTGGCATCGAGACATGACCATCAAGAAAACGTTGACAATGATCAGGACGTTGGAAAGCCTAAGTCTGATGATTCCATAAAGAAGCAGCTGTCGAAAGATGAGCACATGAACGAGACTCCTTGCTATACTTTTAGCACATTTTCATTTCAAGAATCCGATATTGCGATAAAAACTGTAAAATCGATGTTAGCACCACCTGATGATTTAAATGACTCGATATCTAGATATGACCGTCAAGAAGCCTTGAAGAAACGAATAGAAATGAATAAAGTAGATATTGAATTTGATCCACGCACCAATGTATCCGTCATCGCAAAGCGTCTGTCTTTGAGTGTAAAACAAACATTTGACGACATTGTTAAGAACGACGAATACTTTGAAAATTACCTTGCAGAGATGTCTGATGTAAATTCAGAAGATTTTTCATTGGATGTCCCTTTACTAAACCTAGCTTCAAAATCGCCCCAGGACGAACATTTGTCAGATGACGCCTCAACATCAACCATGAATGAGATTGAGCAGTTACTCACCGAAAGGACAGACCAAGACAGCTGCAGCGAAACTGTTTCATCCCAAAAGCCTTGTACAGTTTTTACCGATGAGCCTTTCTGCAAACCAGCTTTGGATCAAAACCAGCTTTTGAATCAAAAAGAGAAAGTAGAGATTAGATGGCGAAAAAGTCCGAGACAAGTTCTTGAACTTTTGAAATCGGAGAAGCTGGATCAGGTGCAGATGGAGCACGTGCAGATGGAGCACGTGCAGATGGAGCACGTGCAGATGGAGCACGTGCAGATGGAGCACGTGCAGAATATGTCTGATATAAAGATCAAGATATCAGAACTTGCTGGTAAGAACGATACAATAATAGATTTGGTGACTCCTCCGATTCAAGGAGATGCTACAAAGGACTCAAAACAACCTGAAAGGCGGAGCTCGAAGAAGGCTAAGCGCCCAAAAAAAAGAAAGATCCTTAAATTTTGTTTTTAAACTGAAAATGTTGTAAGACTGTATCACCTTCTAACACAGAGTCTGGACGGTAAAGCTGTCTGGTGGTCAAAAAAAGTTTGTAATTTCATTTAAGAGATGTGTTTCGAATTGTTTCTGTTATATATTTTCACGCGCAAATAAAGTTAACATAAATTGGTACTTTGATCAGAGATGGTTCTCAATATTTGGTCAGATTTTTATGTTTTTGTGTTGTTTATTGTTTTGATTTTTGCCTAGATTCCGTTATTACAATGCATACATCATGTACATATTATTTTTTAATTGACTATTTGCTTGTTTGATTTTAATCTATAATTATTGAAAATCGAAAGATCTGCACTGTTGATACTAAAAACTTGATATTGTTATTAAATATCAGATTCAAACAATTGTACTTAAGTTGAGGTTCATCTATCCATTTTACTACGGTTTTTTTAATGGAATTTTCTTGCCCAACTTAATGAAAGCTTTAATTGAGCTGACAATGTTGATTGCAGGATGTAACGCTGAACAAGTGGACATTCTCTTGTGTAACGCTGAACCAGTGGACGATCTCTTGTGTAACGCTGAACAAGTGGACATTCTCTTGTGTAACGCTAAACAAGTGGACATTCTCTTGTGACTACATCTAGACTTCTTTCAACTTATCTACACTGTACTTGTGAGTACATTTCACTTTTTACTTTTTAGATTTTCATTTCGACTTGTTTTCAATGATTAATATAATAAGAATTTCACACTTAACTTCTTTTTTAGCTCCCTATCAAACCCCTTCCTCTCTCTCTGAGTAACAATTATATAAACAATAAGCAATGCTGTCAGATACCACTGCAACCATTTTCAATGTTACTCTCCTCAGTAAGTTTGTCTCTACAACTATTGTACCAAGCACAAGAACGAGAAGAATGATACAGCTCCACGGTAGATAAATCGACGTGTGGGCTGCAGAAATTATATTGTTTTGGAAATATTCAAGCCGATGTTTGCGCCACCTGAAGATTTGGATGATACGGCATTTAGACATGATCGTCAAGAAGACTTGAACAATCAAAGCGCGAGCACTGGAAAGATTGAAATTAAATTTGATCCGTCTCAAGAATTATTCGGTGATGAGCCTTTCTGCAAACCAGCATTAGAATTTCCGCATGAAAAAGAAAAAGTAGGGATAAATCGGCGATCATTAAGAAATCCGAAACCAGTTCTTGGAATTCTGAAATTGGAGAAGCTGGAGCACTTAAAGACAGATGATGCAAAGGAAAGGAGGAGCTTGAAGAAGGCTAAAGGCCCAAGAAAAAGAAATACCCTTAAATTTTGTTTAAACTGCAAAAGCTGTAAGACTGTCTCACCCTCTACCTCGAGTACAGAGTCTGGATGATAAAGCTATATATGGAGTTCAGAAGAAAAGTTGATAATTTAATTTAAGAGATGTCTTTCGAATTATTTTATTGTATTTTCCTGCGCAGTTGTTTTTAATAAAGCAAAAGTTTCAGAGGAGGCTTTCAATATTTTGTGTTTTGTCAGATTTTTATGTACTTGTATAATTGTTTGATATTGTTTTGATTTTTGCATAAATTTCATAAAATCAGTATAAGTATCAAGTATTGAAACAATCTGTTGTACACTTAACTTGAGGTTCATCTTTCATTTTTTACTGATGTTTTTCATTTTCTATGAAATTTTAATCCTTAGTGAATGCATCTAAACCAGCTGACAATGTTGATTGCATGATGTAATGCCGAGCAAGTGGATATTTTCTTGAGACTACATTATTCTAAACATCTTCCAACTTATCTGTACTTGTGAGTTCTTTTTACTTTTTAGAAAACATTTTAGTTTTGTCCCCACTATGTTGCAGCAGCACTAAATTGCAACAGCACTGTGTTTTCGAACTATTTCATGCACGACTCGTAGTCGAACTCCAGGATTGGCACCATATGTTTTAACAAACTTTCAATGTTCGGGAATCCTGATTTCCGGGAAATTCCCGATTTTCGGGGAATCCGGGAAATTTTTCCGATTTTCGGGAATCCCGGGATTTATTTTGGTCGGGATTCCCGAATCCTGGGATTTAAAAATGAGATCGGGAATGAATTCACTAATATATAACTGTCTAATTGAATAATTGGAAGAGAACTCCATCAGGCCTAGCTGAACCAAGCGGGGAGTTGATACACCTTTCACAAGCAAGAGCCACTTTGGTCTACTTGCTGTGAGGCGTCTCAGCTACGCCTACATGGGTTGGGGGTCCCCCCTTTTCTTTTTTTTTTGGCTTTGCTGTTCGTTCTGCACTGATCACCATTATTTAGGACTTGACATGATTTAGTGTTTTACAGTGTGGGAGCTTGGTAGTAACTCTTCGATCAGATTTGCAAGGGTTTTGCTTGACCGTCCTTTTTCCAGTTCCCGCTCTCATTAGCGATTCATCAAGAGCGCTTTTTCCATGGGATTTATTTTCGTTGACTTACATATTGCGTAGTCTGAACTCTGATATATCATTGTGATAATTTAATTTCCCGAAGCTGCAAGATTTTGCAGTTTTTAATTTCCGGGTGCAGATAATTTAGTAAGGGGAAAAGTGGCATTCCGTTGGATTTGAATGTTCACAAGGATTTCTCAACGGAATATGGTAGTTAGGACCCCTACGAACATAATTAGACTTGTTGCCAATTTTGTATCTCAACAGAAACACCACTTTTACCACTTTTTACCACCTTTGTACCACCTTTCTGGTTTGCCAAATATCTTTAGTTGTGAACGTCGTAGAAGGCTGCAAATTAACCTAGAATGTTTATCTTATCAAGGAGTAAAACTTTTGTACTAATATTTTTTACATTGGACAATCAGCTAATTGGATAATTACCAATTAGTTAATCACCAAAAAAGGTGAAAATTTTTTATTGGCTCAAAATGATTGAAATCGTTTTAAACACGGAAAAAAGTATTTTTAAGAAAAACTTCAAAAATTTTTCACTCAAAATATATTTTCGAGACTTGGAAAAAATGTTTGAAAATTTGAAAATATTTTTTTTCGCCAAAAGTGATCGAATTGCATGAAACGTGGATAAAAATGCTTTGCAGAAAAACTTCGAAGATTTTTAGATTGGGGAATACTAAAATCATCAATATTTGAAGTTGGAGTTCAGTAAATCTCGACATATTTTAGTAATTAGGAATAGCTTAGCGGAAAGGGCTGAACCTGAAAAAGGTTAACCACACAATGTTAGAGTTTCATAACTAATTACAATACAGCTTTATCAAATTCCACATAAAGAAACAGCACAAAAGGACCATTTAAAATCGAACCGATTTTACCTGCTGTACTATCATTTTATTGATGTCAATGATCAAAACCTCTGTACCGTCAATCTTTCCAATCTATACCGGACCTCTTATTTACCTCTATAATTAGATCCAGTTGTGCAAGAAATGCGATTTCTCACAGAGGTTTCTTTTAACTGTGCACTTTTTGTCACTCTCGCAAGAGGCCTGGTATTATAGGGGGTATAGGAAGCGAGTGTAAATATACCTTCCATCATCCACTGTGGCTTTTTTGTATTGTGAATTCGCATGCCGCTTCGTTTGCTATGCAAGATACCTCAAATAACCCCCATATGTCATTGCTTCATTGCCAGGGTCGGGATAGAGCTGGAGATAGCATTGAAAAGTTGCTAGAAATAGCTAGATTTAGAGTAAAGTGGTGGTAGCTGGGTGGTCATGGTGCTAGCATGGATGTAGTAGAACGTAGCTACACAGCTACACGGGGTTTCATTGGAGTTGGTTATTTTAATGGCCAAAGAGTGCCGGAACTAAAGTCACTTAAGATTGCAGTTGAGGGGCAGTGTAAACCACGGTGGAGTCAGGGACAGAGAGCTGATGAAAGGCTGTTAAGCTCAGGACGGTGATCTTGATAGGTCGGATAGCTGTACTTGGTTGCTTCCAGCCCACCCTTGGCCTTGTCGCTTGGAAATAGGTTCTCACCCCACCTCTTCCAAAAATGTAGTTACCAGAGCAGGAAACTCTTCTTCCTCCTCTTCTTACAACCCAAACACAATCAGGTTCCAGCTCCTCTCCTCTGCAACCACAATCTTATGTCCTTCTTCGGCGTTTTACTGTTGCAGACTGTATCACTTGCACTGTTCTTTTGCAGTACCCCTGCGGCTGCACTGTAGCTCTATGTCCCTGACTCCACCGTGGTTTGCAAATTGCACTGCCCCTCAACTGCAATTTTAAGTAACTTTAGTTCCGGCACTCTTTGGCCATTAAAATAACCAACTCCAATGAAACCCCATGTAGCTCGGTTCTACTACATCCATGCTAGCACCATGACCACCCAGCTACCACCAGTTTACTCTAAATCTAGCTATTTCTAGCAACTTTTCAATGATATCTCCAGCTCTATCCCGACCCTGGCAATGACATATGGGGGTTATTTGAGGTATCTTGCATAGCAAACGAAGCGACATGCGAATTCACAATACAAAAAAGCCACAGTGGATGATGGAAGGTATATTTACACTCGCTTCCTATACCCCCCTATAATACCAGGCCTCTTGCGAGAGTGACAAAAAGTGCACAGTTAAAAGAAACCTCTGTGAGAAATCGCATTTCTTGCACAACTGGATCTATTTATAGAGGTAAATAAGAGGTCCGGTACATTCAGATACCCGGTCTAGATTGGAAATATTGACGGTACAGAGGTTTTGATCATTGAAATCAATAAAATGATAGTACAGCAGGTAAAATCGGTTCGATCTTAAATGGTCCTTTTGTGCTGTTTCTTTATGTGGAATTTGATAAAGCTGTATTGTAATTAGTTATGAAACTCTAACATTGTGTGGTTAACCTTTTTCAGGTTCAGCCCTTTCCGCTAAGCTATTCCTAATTACTAAAATATGTCGAGATTTACTGAACTCCAACTTCAAATATTGATGATTTTAGTATTCCCCAATCTAAAAATCTTCGAAGTTTTTCTGCAAAGCATTTTTATCCACGTTTCATGCAATTCGATCACTTTTGGCGAAAAAAAATATTTTCAAATTTTCAAACATTTTTTCCAAGTCTCGAAAATATATTTTGAGTGAAAAATTTTTGAAGTTTTTCTTAAAAATACTTTTTTCCGTGTTTAAAACGATTTCAATCATTTTGAGCCAATAAAAAATTTTCACCTTTTTTGGTGATTAACTAATTGGTAATTATCCAATTAGCTGATTGTCCAATGTAAAAAATATTAGTACAAAAGTTTTACTCCTTGATAAGATAAACATTCTAGGTTAATTTGCAGCCTTCTACGACGTTCACAACTAAAGATATTTGGCAAACCAGAAAGGTGGTACAAAGGTGGTAAAAAGTGGTAAAAGTGGTGTTTCTGTTGAGATACAAAATTGGCAACAAGTCTAATTATGTTCGTAGGGGTCCTAACTACCATATTCCGTTGAGAAATCCTTGTGAACATTCAAATCCAACGGAACCCTTAAATCGACCACTTTTCCCCTTACTAATTATAAAGACTTTAAATAGAATTAAAGTCGATGCACCAAGCGCTTAAGGGCCGTTGCAATCTATAAAAGTATAAATAAATTGTATATTGGAGGCACTATTTACTCAATTTAGGACAGGCTCTGTTAACTTGGTGAGAAAAATCGCCATTAGGTCTAAATTCTTTTCTTTCTCAGGGCTCAGGGTATAAGTAATAAGATTTCAGTGATGTTGATCCGTTTATTATTCGCATTTGTTTATTTTATACGTATAGTAATAGAGTTATAGTAGTTGCCACGACATATTTACCTGGGGACCCCAGGCTATTATAATTATAATTATTAAAGATTCGGCGGAATGACAGACTGAGCGCCGCCCAGTAACGACATATTTGCCCCGGCTAGTTCTCTATGAATCATGAATCTCATGTCTACAGTATCGAATTATAATCAGTGCGCAGTTAATATATATTATATTTTATTACAAGCATCCAATTATTAGCCACCCGTATCTTAAACTATAAGTATATCTATCGTTTGAGAGCTGTGCACTGTGCATTCCCACATTCAATTTCACTGATGCAGCTAGATTTCGAAATGTACCGGGAACTTGTAATTCATAGACTGTGTATTTTATCAATTACCATATTACTATTAGGAACCGACCGGATATCCGGCTGAATATTTTTTTTGAAACGGAGAATAGTGGTTTCCAGAAAACATTTTCGGTGATAACATTTTTAGCGTTGAGTGCCATAATTTCGTTGACTTTTTCCGTAAAATGACCCTTGAAAACATCATATACTAAAAAAGTTTTCTGTGCCTCCGGCAGACCAAAGATGAAGGAGAACCTTTTCGTCGTTAACATACGGCACTATGGTCTATGATGTTCTCGATAAAACTTATTGTTGTAGATTCATTTGCCCAATGTTTCTCGAAGAACCTCAAATTCTTTCGGAAATGTATACTTAGGAAGAGATTGATTTGTTTTTCCCTTGTAGATCAACTGCATGGGCAAAAAAATTTAGATCAAGATAGTGATCATACCATAATGTGATATTTACAATTTATATCGTTAAAATTTTATAATAACTTGTTTTCATTGATTCAACAATATAGTTTAGTCTAATGGTAGCTATTGAAATACACTGAAATTAACAGTTCAGATCATATTCGGGACAAAAAGTTCGAAATGGAAACATTTTTGAAAAAAATTCAACGGACTTTAACTTTTACTGGGACGGACATTAAATGAACGGACTTTATTTGAACGGACATTAAGATGAGCGCTATAGGGCCTCCAGCGTTCAAGTAATGTCCGTTCAAATAAGGTCCGATAAGGTATGTTGCAACAGCACTATAACCCTTGCCCTTACCTTTGGCTTTAAATGAGCACCGTAATGTAGATTGAACTAATGATTCTGTCAAATATCACTAAACAGTAAACAACAGCCATTTCTGATTTCAGATGCGCAGACGGTAAATATTTGGTAAAGATGCTAAACAATTGTCCTCTTCCTGGGAAACAGAGAACAAGCATTTGTGGTGTGCTTCTTCCTAACTGCAGTGGGGTAGGTCGTCTTTAGCTCTTAAGAGCCATCCTATATTAACACTTATTCGGACGAATCCAAAATTTCCAAAACCATACACAGACACTTGCAAGATAACAACTCCATCATTATTGCACCCTTCGTACGTCCTTCATTCTGCTGTTATCCATTTTAAATTAAATCTGTCAACAAATTCTATGCAGACAAAAACTTTCCAAAATAGTGATATTTGAGAGGACACTATTCTCGAAACTGTTTAAAGTTATTGAACCTAAAGTTCTAAAGTAACACTGCCACTATCAGCCCCTAGTATTCTGAAATAACACGTACGATTAATACGTGGACAGATATTTGCTTTTAACTCATTTTAGCATCATTGTTCTAGTGAATTATATATGCTTTTAAAGCCGAACCGACCAGTTTTCATCTAGAAAAATCACCGGGAATCGGATTTGTGGTATGAATAAGCAGGAAAATATCCTCATCCTCATAATTCAGGTTATTCTTGTAAGCACAGGTTGGTCCAACCTGTGCTTACAAGAATAACCTGAATTATGAGAGGATAAGGTCATTTTCTTGCTTATTCATATCACAAATATGATTCCCGATGATTGTTCTAGACGAAAACTTGTTCACATATTTCAGGGATAGTATATATTTTCAGTGAAAAGGATATCAATGACTAGACTGCCTCCTTTGAAATAGCCCAATCTGGTTCATTGCATCATTTTAACATAGCGTGTTCTACAGTTCTTGTGATGATCTGATTAAATTATAACTACCGATATAATTGCAAATATCATCTCACCTGGTTCACACACTTCATTATCCATCGTTACTTTTCCTTTTGCGTCTCCGGTAAATAATTAATGTAGTTTACGGTTATCTCGTGATTGATCCTTCGTTTTTACTGTTGAGCTTGCCGATGCCGACAAACGTTTGGTTGTATTTTGGGAGTTGGGACGATCGACTTTGGGTTAGGAATCACATTTTGATGAATATAATGTGTATGTAGAGTCCTATATAATATACAGTCCTATAAGTATAGAGTCCTATATATATTTAGGATTTAATATAAATCAATGTCAGTGTGACGTAACCAGGGTGACGTAACCAGGGTGACGTAACATATGCAATGCAACTCATAATTATATTACGTGACATGTAAGCCAATTATTGTACATCGAGCAGTCAAATTCTCAGGTCCAGAAGCTTGTAGGTACAACAACGTAACGCATGTTGCCACTACTGCACTGCCACCATGCCATGGAAGTGGCCCTACATACAATATTAAGATATTATGGCAGTGATGATATCAGGTATAGTGGCAGCATAGGGGTGGTATCGGGTAGTGGCTTCAGCTGTTGCAACCTAGCCTGGAGCCCCGCATGACTTTCTCATCTTTCTGTCGCACTATTTAAAACCATCATTTCACTTCTGTTCCATTTTATGAAAAGCGTTGGTAGATATTAATTTTGTACTGCTCGATATAGTTAATCATTTATTAATCACTTGTTAATAGGTCTGAAGTTTGAAGGATACCTACTTATTGAACCTATTGAGAGGTTTAGAAGTGGGCATCTTCACGGCCATCACGCAATCTGCGGACCACCTCCTTGCAGACTGCACCAGTCTATCTTACTATATATAAAGCGAGACGATATATATGGATGTGTTTATCCGTACCATTTTACTGACACCACTGCATCAACTTTAACGCGACTTTCCGCAAAAACCGTAAAAGATATACAACTGTTACTTTTTTGACTGGGTCAAATGCTTTGATGGCCTCCAAATCAGCATGAAAAAATAAAAAATTGGCCAAGGAATAGGAGTTTTAGAGCCCAAAATTTGAACCCCCAAGTGGTGTCAAAAACGCGAATTAAATAGGTAATAATTATTTTAGTCTCTTGAGTGTTGACACTATTTTAGGGTTATACGGGTTACTGCTAGTTATATTAATTTATCGAGTTAAAGTTTTCTGCTCTGTATCCAGGGGTGGAGGCTTGTCTGGAAGGGTGTCTAGGAAGTTTCCAAGAGATGTCTTCAAGCTTGCCTAAGTCTTTTGAGTATTGACAATTTTGGGGAGAACATTCCAGAGTCTTCCAGCTCTCACTGCGAATGAGTGGTTGTAGGTGGACCGTGTAGCGGATGATGCTTTTTTGTGGCAGAAAGGAAACTTTAACAGAAAGGAGACTTTAACATAAAGGTATAAAGCCCGCGTGATTTGATGTGCTTGCGAAGTCTATTACTCTACTCTTTTTTGTTTTTTAGCCACGAGGAGAAAGAGTAAGAAGGAATATGAAGCGAGAGGAATGGACCGAGTACAGTCAGTCCCCTGATAGATTTGAGCCCCGTCCAAGAATTACGATAGATTATACTTATAGAATGATGACATGATTTTCAAATTTGTTCGTTGCAAATATTCCCATATTTTCGTTCCCAAATCATTTAGGTCACCGGCATTATATCGAACACAATTATGTCTCGTAAGGTAGATGATTCAATAACATATTAACCGGAAAACCCTGTATTACTTTAAAAGAATTTTCGCCCTCTTGATGTTAATAAATATCAATGATCCACGACCCCTAATTGTCTGTTTAACATTGGATCTTTGAACTCTCCGGCATTTTTGTTGCCCATGGATATTATATTATTAAGAAAAATAAGTCCTTAATTTTTTGTTCTATTGCGGCGTCCCACGGAATCTCAACGTCGACTTTTTCAAATTGTCTTGAATTCCTAACGCCCTTACATCTAAAGTTGAAGAAAAGCCAATTTAGTCATTTTCTCGTTAAGCATTTTCCCGTTAAGCAACAACTTACATTACTCTTCGAGCCAATATTTTTAACACATAGTGAACTATGTACGCAATTACTTGGACTAATGAACATTTATTTGTTATTCTGACGGTAGGGGGTGGAGCAATCTGTTTCGATATCCAATACCTCGGCACTTTTCAGCACTACACAACTTTGATCATTTTTCTTTGAGATCCCTTCGGGCTGATCTGTTCCAAACAGTACTTGGTTGCTGCAGACGTGTAACGGTACGCGATAAGATAAAATCGTTTAATTTAGACAACAAGAATTTTAAGAAATCGTGATTTATTATTGTTTTTGTGCATTTATTGATCATTGAAGGGCTAGCGGTGAATCTTAAAACTATTTTGGGGCAAGTCTTCTAACGGAATAAAATACGTATAATATTATATATAATACTAGAAAGCCCGTGGTAACAGGGATGAAGCTAGTATGTAGTATTCTTTGAAAGAAAGTTTTAATCGTATCAAAAATATTCACCCCAACCGAAGATGCAGCCGATTTTAAATGTAAAACAAAACGTAATTACCACAAAACCGATCAAAATGTCGTTCCAACAATATTTGCACGTGCACGTGCGAATTCCAACACTCATGCTAATTGCTATGGAACCTTTTGGTTTTTACCTAACTTCTTATTTCTCGTCTAATTTGCACGTGGGCGTCGTACAGACAGCTACAGACAGAAAGAATCTTTTGAATTATATTATAGATATTACTTAACGTGCCCCAAATCTGCTGACCCAGGGGTGGAACCTGTAGAATGCGCGCGAAAAGGGGTTACAACGTGTATCAAGGTCATATTTATTCGTGGTACTCATATTCATCCGACAGGTTTTTTTCGAAATATGTAATTTGTACGCCACTTTTATATTGACCATAACTGTAAGTCTTATCTGCCCCATGATTACAATAAATTGAGTATTCAATAATAACATACTTAGAAGATCAAATAGCTTTAACTGTAGCTATAACTGGAAATAGTTATCCCGAGCATGCATTCTACCAGTCATGAAAACACGAAATAATATTTTAGATATTTTTGAATTTCATATTTATAATTGGGGAGTTAGTGTTATCTTGGTTATGTAAACTTGTTAAGTACAAGCATCATGAAAAGCTAGCTTGCCATTTTATTGCATGCATGATAAGTTAAAGGTTCGGCTGCAAAACCGCATGTTAGTTATATTAGCGAATTAGTAAAAGCCGTTCCTATTTCACCAATTTTATTTAGGTTAATATAATGTTGTCGGAACTTGGGATATAAGGTTCTTTTGGCTCAGAAAGCTTAAGATGGTGGAACTAAAACAATTTCGCTATTGACCATTATTAAATGTTAAACTTAATACAGAACATATTGGCTAGTACAATATCAAATATGTTATAATTTATAACAAGCATAACACCAATAAACACATATAAATACGAAACAAACGTTAACAGTTAAAAAAAGAAGCAAACTTATATAACCGTGTTTAATACTTTAATTATAGACACGTAACGGTAATGAAAAATAAATTGAACCGACTGAAGAAGTTTGTAAATAAATTTGTCATGCAATATTATATTTAATACTAGAAAGCCCGTGGTCACACGGAGGAAGCTAGTAGTTTTCTATTTTTTGGCAGTCAGTTTTTATTGCATCAAAAAATATCCGTCCCAACCGAAGATACAGCCGATTAAAATGAAGCTCGCGCTGAACACAACGTAATTACGACACAACCGATCATAATGTCGCTCGCAAATCTTTACACGTGCCGAGTACTTTTGAACACCGTTACCATCAACCATGGTTACTATGCAGCTTCCTATTTCTCGTCTAATTTGCACGTGGGCGGTCGTACAGAATAATTCTTTGAATTATAGTATTGACTAGAAAGCCCTTGGTAACAGGGAGGAAGCTATTAATATTCAAAGAATTATTCTGTAGAATGTATGTATGTACGACCGCCCACGTGCAAATCAGACGAGAAATAGGAAGTTAGGTAAAAACCAAAAGGTTGCATAGCAACGGTGTTGTAATGCACACGTGCACGTGCAAAGATCGGTCTTGTGGTCGGTTTTGTGGTAATTTCGTTGTGTCGATTGCATTATAATCGGCAGTATCTTCGGTTAGGATGGATATTTTTTTATACGATTACCACGGGCTTTCTATTAATATTATAATATTCTATTAATATCATAATATAATATTTAT